TAAAACATCTGAATAAACCCCATGGTGAAAATAAAGTATGCAGTTTTACTTCTCTGGCCTCAAATTCTAAAGACTTTTGAAGCACTTACCACAGAGCTAAAGCAGCTGGCCTCTTCTCAAATTTATATTTTGTGGTTCTTCTAAACATGAATTTAATCTTCCCTTTATTAAACTATATTTTCTTGGTTCTCTGAAGGGAGAGTCACTGCAAGCTACTGAATTGCTTACACATTCCATCAATTTCAAAACAACACAGCAGTAACGCTGTGTCACTGAACTGTTTCAGACAGCTCCCATTTCTGTAGATGACCATTTATTTCCCACTGTTTCAATAATTCTAAATCTAGGCCTTGAAAATGATAATCAAAATGAACACTAAAAAAAAAAAACCAACACTTAAGTTTTCATCATGCTTAGGAAAGGTTTGCCAAGTACTTCCACATATATCTTAGATGATAACAAAACAATGCTTTGGGGTATTATTTTCATGTTTACTTTACACATGAGGTGACAGAAGTTGAAAGAGTATATTCAAATAAGTAATAAGCACATGAAAAAGTGTTCACCCTCATCAGTTATGAGGGAAAGGCATTAAACCACAATGAGTTACAACCACATACCTACCAGAATGAGTAAAAATGAAAAGACTGTGCTAAATGTTGGTGAGGGTGTGGGGAAACTGGACTTCCCATACACACCTACGTGAGTGTAAACTAGCACATCTAGAGACCTGTTTGGCAGTATCAATTCAAGCTGTCCACATGAATACCCTATGATCCAGAAATTCTAGTTCCAAGTATATACACCACAAAAATGTGCTCCAAAGGACATGTATGAGAATGTTCATAGCAACATTACTCATGATAGTCAAAAATGAGAATGACACAAATGTCTATCACAGAAGATGACAGAAAAGTTCTTGCAGAATACTACACAGTAGCAAGGATAAGTGAACCACTATTACATAAAATGCAAGTGAGTCTGAGAAATAAAAGTCAAGTGAAAGATGGCAAATACTAAAGTACACACATTATATGATTCCATTTGTACTATGCTCAAGACCAGGCAAAACAAATCTATGACATTAGAAGTTAGGACAGTGCTATCTTTGGGGAGAAAGCAGGGTATCAGGAGAACAGTGGGGAGGCCAAAAGTGGATGGTGACTGTCTTAGTCTACTCAGGCTGCTATACTAACAACCATGGACTGGGTGGCTTAAACAGCAAACAAATGTTTCTCACAATTCTGGAGGCTGGCAAGTCTGAGATCAAGGCACCGGCAGATTTAGTGTCACCATACTGATACACAGGTGGCCATCTTCCAGCTATGTCCTCACACTGTGGACAAGGCAAGAGAGCTCTCTGTGGTCTCTTTCATAAGGACACTAATCCCATGCATGCGGGCTCTACCCTCATGATCTCATTATCTTCCAAAGGCCCCACCTCTTCATACCATCACATTGAAGGGTGGGATTTTGACATATAAATTACAAGAAGACAACATTCAGTCCACAACTCTGGTCATGTTATATTTCTTGATGTGGTAAGAGGCTCCAAGGATATGTTCACTCTGTGATAATTCACTGAACTACATACTTAGGATTTGTATACTCTTCTCTATGTAAGTTATACTTTAATAATAAAAGTTTATTAAAATTTTAAATGATACTGTCATGTGAAATTTTTGCCCCTTTAAATGCAAAATGTGTGTGTGTATCTCAATTCATACAATAAAATAATCCTCTGAGGTAATAAGTACTGTTGTTATTTCCACAGTATAAAAAAGGAAACCAAGACACACTGAAGTTACAGGACATGCTTAAGGTCGCATGGCCAATATGCAGTAAAGACAGGACTGGAAACCAAGCTGCCTGGCACCAGAGTCCCACTGAGAATCCCTTCCTTTTTAAACTAGTACTTGGTTCTTTTATCACACATTTCTTCCTGGACATTTAAAGGCCTTCGGAAATTTGACTCTAAGTTAGACCTAAACTAGGAAGCATAGTCCAATCAACTGAGGTGACTTCACTAATGCTAATCATAAGCTACTGCTTTTCAAAATCAGGCCTCTAGAGGGCAACAGATTTGCTTAACTCTGGACAATTGAGTCAAGCTTACCGTTGAGATTCACATCAACTGTCATTTCCTTTTATTCATTTTTGCAAGATGTTTTACATACTCCAGATGTTGTTGTACTCATTTTCTACACCTTTGGAATTCTAAGATTAGAATTACAAATAAAAGTCAAAGCATGATTCAGGAAAAAAAAACCTAAGGGTAACATTCTTGATAGTGTTTCTCCTTTAAATGTGTTCTAATTCTTTATAGATTATCACAAAATTCTACTTCTATTTTTTATTTTATATCATTTTTACTCCCTGGGATTTTAAGACTACTAGTGTTTAGAATCTTCTAAGTTAAAATGATGAGGATAAGATCAGATCTTTTCTACCACCAGCAGAACAAACTCTTACCTTTTTCTCATCTCCAGCCCAGCTGGAAAATAAGAGAATTATAAAATATTTAATGATACACTTCATGGGAATCCAGTTTAGAAAGTGAGCTATCTTGTAAACACTCTTATTTTAGACAGTTTGGCAGAGGAACTTCATTTTATGTATATTACAAACAAGTACGGAAAGCATTAGTCATAAAGGCACTTGTGCTGGATCCCAATGAAAATCGGCATTTGGACTATTAGTCAGGCAAAATGAATACAAGTCTCAGTTCCACGGCTGGCATTATGAGTGGAAATATATGTCAATCCATAATATTTTTCTTCAATGATGATGTTTATTACTTGATCAATGGAATTAGCTTGTACATATGACAAACAAGTAGTTGTTAGCAGCAGTTGATTTAGGTTTTAACAACAACGGGCCTTCTGTAATTTTGAGTTTCAGTGTATTCAACTGACTGTTCCTTATATCTAACAAGAAAATCAATGCCTTTGAAATAATTAGCTTTGGGCTCTGGGGAATCTCTGCTTCTGGGCAACTGGATGAGATTCTACTTGAAATAATTACTGCCAGAACTACAACCAGTTTCCTTGCAAGATCAAATCAATTCATCTATACTATTTTTTAGCCTCTGTTCTGAAATCTGTGAAACAATGCCAGGATTGAAAATAGCCACTGCACTTTTATGCTTTTTAACTGGCTTTGAAATTTCAAGATTTGGAAAATGTACTGTGAGATGAGCCAAGCATTCATTTTCCTGATATAGCATGAGAAAAATAAAATAACTCCCACATACCTTTATCCACCCAAGATGACAGCCAATCTTGAAAAAGTTTAAATACTCTAAGCATATGAAAATATTCTATAGGGTAAAGTCAACATTTTTGAAGAAACTGCTTTTTTTTTTTAATGTTTCCAAGTGACTTTTCATTCCCTTCCTGTACTTTTATAAAATCAACATTCAGGATCAGCCACTAAGAAAAGACAGTTGACAGAAAATGCAATGATTGTCCTGGTAGATTTAATCCTTCCATAGCTCTCTGTTATTCCTAGCACTGAATTTCAGTAGACACTAAAAGTTCAGCATTTTATGGCAGCTGCTTGTCCTCTGGGTACTTTGTGGTTCAAGTGGTTTTAAGAGCTGTCTGTTATGTCCATGGTACTTATAGATTTCAACAGGTTTAAAAATCTCTGGGACAAAAATGATTCTTAGGAAAAAGTAGGAAAGAGGGATCAAGGAATTAATAAATGATTAGGGAGCCTCCGATAATGCTCCTACTTAACCAAAGAAAACAAAGTGCTTACATAAACAGAAAAATCAACTGCAGACACTTCATGGTTGTGTAACTTTGGACTTCAGGAACTTAGCTATTCCTGAAGCACTCGAGAAATGAAGGTAAGTTGCTGATAATGCTTAACCATTATATGCATATGTGTGAATCAGAAGGAAGAGGTTTAGCAAAAACATAAGGTTACCAAGTCATAATGAAAACAGATAAGCATACCACTAACCTAAAACAAAATTTCATGCATATAAGGCCCAAAATACCAGTATACTTATGAATGGGAAGCTTCCATATTAAGTTCAGATCAGATTTCTTTCAAAAAAACCTGATATTGTTTTCATTCATGATTTTCTTAGTGACGGTTCAGATTTCCCATGTCTTCAGATATGTCAGGAACCAAAAGAATGTATTATATACTGTAGCTATATTCAGATAATGATTCTCAAATAAAGTTTACAATCATATGATTGTGTGACATACGCTATACCACAGAACTGTTAAAGAGAATTAAAGGACATATATCAGATATTCAAAAAATATTAGTTTTTTTCATGTAATGATATTCACCTAAACCTTGTTATCAAAGACAAGTGAATATCTACAGTGGAAACAAACCATATTAGTATTTAAACTGATTATTTATTGAATACCTATTATTCACCTAGCATTGGTGTGAGAGGTCCATCCTAGTTAAGAAGAAAAGATGCCCATAAAGCAACATTATATGCTACTTAGAGCATTTGTTACAAACTATAATGTACATAGTCTTCAGAGATGAAAATTAAAAAGCATACAGAAGGAGGTGGGGTCATTATTTTCCAGTAATCTATATTATAATCCTGTAATTTTCTTCTGTCTTCATCTTATAATACCTTCAGCCTCTTGATGGAAGGAATCTGAGACTCAGTCCCCTCTAAATCACGTAACTGTAGAACTAATTGTTTCAGTGTGAAATACCCAAATAATATTTCATGCCAACCAATGTTTCCCTGTATGCACTACACTTCAATTTTAATTTCCTTCCACCTCCCAGAACTTCGTAAGCACAAACTCTGAAATAAGATTCTGGGGTCACTTATGAGCCTTTCACCCAGATGATTTAAATCATCACATATTCCAGTGGGATATAAGGGAGGATTTGCATCTGGGGCTGCAAAGTACATGTGTTGGCTTATGAACCCTTAGCAGCACGAGCAAGGTAGCTATAGATGGTGAGAAATCTGAACATCATACAATCTCCCTAAAAAGAGAGGTTACCTTAGGATCAGCTGTGAGCAATTTGAATGCTTGATACACTTGAGATTCCTTTACACCGCCACCAAGATCCAAGAAGTTGGCTGGCTTCCCACCATTCAGGAAAATGATGTCACAGGTAGCCATGGCAAGTCCAGCACCATTCACTGTGAAGGGCAAATGGCACACAAGACAGGATAAAGACAGCAACATGAAAGGGTGCATAAACTTTGTCCCTCCCCCATACTGCAAAAAGTGAACCCTGTCATTACTAGGCCAATTTCCACTGTGCTTGGAATTCTGTTCAACTGAAGAAATTCACATACTTTAAGGATAAAGAATCAGGAAATGTGCATAAAAGAATAAACAAAAAAGACCTAGGAAAGGAGAGAAGGGTTTACTGAGAACTTAAATCAATCTGGGAAACAGAAAGAAAAGAGTTTCAGTAAATAGTCAATTTGGACTATTAGGAGATGAGTTTTAGGTTCTGGAAAGTATAGAGTTTAAGAGAAACTGAGAAAGAGAGGAAAAAGGCTAAGAAAAGTTGCTAGAGCCTATAAATTAATTCTTTTGTATTCTTTAAGAGATTTGAGTAAAGAATGTGATTATTTTAATTTTTTGCTTGCTGAGAATACGCTCCTTTGAATGTGGTATCCCTCTGAGTGTGAACGACAGGGGTCCCAACAATAGGGCTCCATATTTTTTTACAGTTAGTGCAACTATGCATGTTTATGTGTTCTTTGGAGAAACTTAGAAAACAAATGAACAAATGACAGCATCAAAACAATATTCCTAACACCTGTTCGTTTTTCAAATTAATGTAAGAAATGTTCATCAGCAACCTTACCATTAAAACTAGAACCAAAATGTACTAACACCTTAGGAGCTTTTCTTAGGAAACTAAGGAAAGAGTTTTAAAATCAAAATTCTTAATTTTCCAGAGTTAATAAGTTTTATTATTGATCAACTGTATTTCTTTTGCTTCTTATGCTTAATTTTAGGAAATGATTTTCCTTAGGTTAGAAAGTTCCCACCACCATAAAAAAAAAAAATCTCCTGAACACAGTAGAATCTCTCCAGGTAAAGTAACTTTCACTATTCTGACTCTTGAATTTCCCAGGTAAGCCTATGAACTGTGACTAATTTAATTAAAAGTCTGTGGGAACTAAAGTAGAAACGATTTATATAGGATCTTAAACAATGCGAAATGTGTTAATCATAGCTTCTGAGACTACTAACTTGGTCAAAACATGCACACTCCTACAGAGGCTACGAAGAATATGTATTTAATTTGTTGTAAACACACCATTATATCTTTCCCCTTTCTAAACGTGTACAAATATTGAGAGCATTTTAGCTTATCAAAATTAGAATGATGTGAGTGATCTGGTACATTACAGTTTTTGCTCCAATGCAAAGAAAGAGCTTTTGGTATCACTTGTAATTGGATGTCATTTTCTATTGTATTGAACAGCAGTCTACTGGATGAGGTCTGTTCAGTTCTGAATATAATGATACTGTTGGTTTAATGAGCAACAAATCTTTTTTATTTTAATTCCATTAAGATTAAGACCTCAGTTTCTAGTGCAATGAATTGGTTCCACCAGAAACAGAGAAGCATATAAATCTCAGTACTATAAGCTGTGTACAATAACAGAAATTGTATAGCCTGTACAGATCTATTCTTATCTGTGCTAATAAACCAATTTCACAAATTTAGATGACTATGATAAAATCCATTGTTTTACTACTAAACTGACATTAATGGAGTAAACATTTTACCATTTGGTTTTCATAGACTCTGAAATTTTAGTATAATGATTAAAGTCTGTGTTCTCTTCTACTTCCTCTAAGACAGCAATTTATTATAAACCACATTTTGGAATAGTTCCTAGCATATTAACACTGACTGAAGTAGCAAAGGTGCTGACTTTTACGAGTCAAAGTTTAGCTGAGATGCTTCAAAACAGTGGTTCTCAACTAGGGTGACTGTGCCTACCAAAATACTTAGCAATGTCTTGGAGACATTTTTAGTTGTCACAACTGGTGACAATACAACACAGGACAGCGACCCACAGCAAAGAATTATCCCACCCATAATGTTCATTCCTAGGGCCAGAACTGAGAAACCCAGCTTTAAACCAGTGATCATCAGCCAAAATGAACATCAGGAAGAAATACTGGTTTGTTTCTTAAGACTTTTTGGGTACAAAAATTTCCTGTATTTACTTGCTATTAGGAAATAACATTTCAGAAATCAGGGGTCCCTAAATTCTGCAAAAATCCACAAATTATTCTTTTGATCTAATTGCTTTCTTACCGAAGCAGGCAATGTTCCCATCCAGTCCTATGTATTTTAGATCGTATCTGGCAGCTTCATTTTCAATGGGCTCATTCTCTGATTTGTCGTCCATAGCAAATATATCCTTTTGTCGGAATTCTGCGTTGTCATCAAAGTTTATCTTGGCATCAAAACAGACAACTGATAAATAAAAAAGGAAAATAACTGAATATCTCTTAAGGGTCTATAAATTAAGTTCTCCAGGCTGACACTGCAGGAGAAAGAAAGTCAAATACTGTTATTCTTTCTTATGCTACAGGCAGGAGTAGCCATTATGGCTTTCTTGACCTTTAAAATTTAAGGCTAGAAACATAAACACAACACAGTCCCTGTTCTCAAGGGACTTATGTTCTAATAACAAGCACAGTAACTTTCATCTATTGATTCCTATAAAACAACAATTTAAGTTGCCATCACCCATTAAAAGCTACATAAGTGCACAGCCACATACAGCTTTGACATGCTATTTTACTACATTTCTTATTTTTAGTATTTAACTGCTGATCATCACCTTTCCCTTCAACACAAAGAAAAACTAGATGATAATGCTTAATCCTGCTGTCCTCCTTTGTCCTTCTTCTGATGCTGCAAAGTAAAGTTTTTATTTAATCAGTATCCTCACTAATATGTTGGGAAGATTTAGTGGAAAGAATAACAGGCCATAATCAATATATCTCTTTTTTAAGTATTTGATCCTTAACTAACTCTGCAACCTTGATAAAAATAACGTACTTCCTTTCTGGACCTCAGTTTTCTTCTCTGGAAAACTGAAACAACAATCCTTCAACTGGGGACAGACTTACTCTGGGGTCTGCTAAAACTAGACCATCATTTTGATGCGAGCAAGACCATGTTATGACTCTTGGGATTCAGATTACAAACAATTAAGAGATCAACACTGGTTAGTTATAATGGAAGGCTGCCAGGAAGTATTCGCACCATGGTCTCTACTGTCTGGTGCTGGTAGAAATTTCTAACTCTCTTTTCACTTAAGAGCCCTGGACACAGTGAAACTCACTCATTGACAGGAATGGACCACAGTTTTCCTTGATTTATAAATCTTCTATATGTACACTCAGGGAGCAATTGCAGTGGGAAGGGGAGGTGTGCCTGGTGTCTAGGATCTTCTTCCTTCGATTACATCCCCTAGAGTAGGCATTAGTTGTCTATGATGACATTCCATCATAAACTTCTTTTACTGTACTGGGATACCGATAGGCAGGGATCTCTGACCATAAATTTAGATATTACCCATACTCCTCCATCATTGCTGATAGGCAGCTAACTCTTTAAAAGGAAGCAACCACTGTTGTATATTTCACTCCAAATCAATGACCATAATCTGTTACTTCCACCTGCTACCTATGAAAAGAAAATGTTACACAGTAGCATCCTGGAGTTAAAGACCCCAAGTAGAGGGTTTCTCCAAGGGTCTCTCTACCACAGTAATCGAGCACTTTGGTATCTGTGCAGAATAGGCATATTAACATCAAAGAATATGCCGCATAAATAAAAGTCCAAACCACAAATTATTTGAAGTAGCACGGACTGACAAGAGACTCTCATATGGAATTTAATGTCTGCTTCAGTCCCTTGTCTTGCCACAAAATGTCCACACACTGTGACTACTTGGAGCAAATGAGTAATTACTTTCCAGAATACTGAAATCCTGATGGGATCCTACATTACCAAAGGAATTAGCCAATGTTCTCTCTTGCTACAGCAGCATTTTCTCAGCAATTAATGACTGGTATAACAATCAATAGGAAAGCAACTTCATTCCTTGCTTTCCACTGGGTTTATAAATATATTTTAATTAGTTTATTAGTGATTTTAGCTCCTCCATTACTCATTGGTAAGATTACTTGTAACCAACATGTTCAGAATAAATGGGCAAATGCTACCAAATTGACCAAAAAACAAGAGTTTCAAATAAAAGAATTATTGGTAAAGATCAATAAACCAGTAAATCAGTATAGGTCCAGGCTGATCTTTGCCCCTCACAAAGATTACAATTACAAGCTACCTGAGAGAGAGCATAATTAACAGACATGTATGCAAAGTTCAGAAGGCAGTCCCAAGCTAAATGCCTGCAAAGTCAGATTTTCAAAAGACTCTTTTTCCTGTAGTATGATACATATCAAGCACAGAAACGAGTTCAGTACTTAGGGACCATCTTGAGAGAACTTCAGAGTTAACCCAGGGCTTAAAGATGACGACTGTGAGGTAAAATAAAAGGTTTATCTACGGGTATCATTATCTGTGGGATAAAAGTGTAGCTACAGTGGCCCCTTACCAACTGTTCTCCCACTGTAGAGAAAATTAAACAACCTAATTAGGTTGATGTATATATGTCCAAGTGCTCTGAGAAGTTAAAAGCACTGCATAAATAGGAAGTAAGAAAGGCAACTTATGAGCAGAGAAAGACATCCAAAACTGAATTGCCACCCTTAATGCCTAAAATCTTTTTTGGGGAGGGTGGAGGTCAAGGGGGGATAAAGCACTTTAATGAAGGACAAGGAATCTCTTAGACACATATTTATTATGCATACTAAATATTTCAAAAGTGGTCCCAAACATATCAAGTGCTTTCCCGCCTTACAATTTCAGTTTATAATGTTATACCACCTGAAAGTTTTCCCTTGAACTTGACCACTTGATGTAGACTCTGGCATCAAAAACACCTGGTTACAAATTACAACTCTCATACTCCTTAACCAGGGAGCCATCAAGACCAGTGGCTCTGTCTATCAGATGGGGACCAGAGTATTTTCTACTGCACCGTGTTGATGGAAGGAGAGATGGTACGCAAATCACTCAGACTCACTGACAGCTGGCACCCACCGGTCATTATGACTCAGCCACATTTTACTGTGGTTATCACTACCACCTCCATCCTCCACGTACACAGTGCCTTCTTAGGCCTTCACACTGCTGCAGGCTAGGCTATAGGATTCTCCTCTCTTCTTATCACAGAATATGACCTGTACTTTGTCCCGCCCCCTGACAATCCTAGACTGCCTGTTCAGAGTAAATCTAAACTTATGCCTAGTGGAGTTTATCCATGTACAGGCTACCTATGGTTTTCAATAAAAATAACCATCTTCTGAACACATCAGAATTTTCCCACAGGAAGAATTTTAATGGCTGGCATTTCAGGCTTCATAACTCACAGGGAAGGAGACTTTGACTGCAGGATGTTGATGAAAGAGATGGCTTGGCGACCCCTGAATCATACCACACCTTTGCACAAGGCTGTGGTGGCTAAAACTTGGGATAAAAGAGCCCCAAGTGAAAATCTAGGTCAGGGGGTGGCAGAGTAGAGCCCTCAGGCCAGCTCACTACCTGTTTCTGTAAATAAGGTTTTATTGGAATTCAGCCACAACCATTCGTTTACATGCTTTTATGGATGCTATCCCAAAACAAAAGCAGAGATGAGTGGGTGCAAGAGAGACTACATGGCCCCCAAACCCCAAAATATTTACTAACTGGCCTTTTACAGAAAAAGGTTACCAACCGCTGCAAAGTCACAGTTCTCATCACATTTGTGTCCTGCCTGAACAACTGATGAAATTGTCACAGGTGTCGTATTTGTACCAGTGAAGGAGAAACTTAGAAAAGTGCAACCTACTTAGCATGAAAACAAAGAAGTATTATCAAACAAAATTAAAAACAAAAACAAAAACAAAAACTTGCAGCTTGCATAAAAGGAGCAGATTAATCCCTGAATACTGACTGACTTTTCTATGCTAATTTCCCCCTGTAAAATCCTTCCAAGTATACTTTCAGAACTGGTGGGTTAAAAATGGATTGTCTATGTCAACAGTACGGCAACAAGATAAACTTGCTTGCTCAAACCTTGGCTTCTTCACTTAATAAAACAATAAACTATGGTAAAATGTATTTTTGGAAGTACTGAGCTTGGTTCAGCTATTAAGACTTTCAATGTCACATTAATGAAACATCAATTCTATAGAAAACTCAACTTGAACAAAGGCCACTCTGTATACAAAGTGGGTGAAAAAACACACCTATTAATATTTATAAAACAATTTTCACCATCAAAAGCACATTGTTATATGCTTGATAGATTATACAAATGAATTTTCCTTCTGAACAAATATCAAAGAAAGCTGAGGTACTTATATTCATAGGGTATTTTTGTCGTTTTGTTTAATGGTGTGAGATCCTGTGAACTGCTAATTCAACAACCTCGATGAAGAACATGACTGACAATTAGCAGCCTTTGACCCTAGAGTTTTAACAGAAGAATGTGCCGCAGAATTAAAAGGAAAATACATTTCAGAAGGGAGACTCACACATAAATGAAACATAAAAGCAGCAGGAAATAAGATTGTCATAATTAGTTTGAAAAACAATCTGTCTTTAAGCAATGTATTGAATTTGATTTCTGATAAATAACCGTAACATGCTACTGAAATTCACTTCACCAAGATGGCCTTTAAAATGCTGAGACTTCCAAGTTAGTCCCACTTTCCGTTAAATGTTGATGCTCCAAGAGTTGCCTACTTTTGAGAACTTTCCTTTAGTTGCTCTGAAAAGAGAAAATAGATACTAGGCGGGAGGGAGCTTCGGGGGGAAGGTAGAGAACTGAGAATGTTCTTGAAAATAGAGCTTTGTGTATAAAGAGAGAAACAGAGAAACACCCACCAACAACATGGGCGCTTGCTAACATAGAGCAACAGGGTGGTTATTTAGGGAAATTAATCTAAAAGAAAAAAAGAAATTTGATGTGCCAGTTAACTTTAGATCACCCAGCCTTAATTCTCATAGAATCTTGGCCAGAAAGTCACGGTTTTAAATCGGGTTTTATTCTTTTAGCTCGGTGAATGGATTTGGGCTCCAACTGATAAAGATGTCTTAGAGCAGGAATTCTTAATCTCAGAATGACTGATGTGTTGGGTGAGATCATTTCTTATGAGGGGAGCTGCACTGTGCACTATAGGATGTTTAGCAGCATCCCTGGCCTCTACCCACTAGAAGCAAGTAGCATTCTGCACCCCAAGTTGTTGACAACAATGGATGTTAACTAGATTCATCATGGTGATCACTTCACTACATGGATATAGACATAGATATAAATAAAATCACTGATATATATCTGAAATTAATATACCATTATATATTGATTATATCTTAGTTAAAAAAAAAAAAGAAGTCTATCTAGATACTGCCAAACAGACCCTGGAAGACAAAATGCCCACCCTCCCCAATGAAAAACACTGTTTTAAAGACACCAAAGGGAGGAGTCTGTGTGCAGGCAGATCTGGCTAAAAGTAGGACAAAATGAAATAGGACAAAAATCTCACAGTGGCATACAAAATTAATAAATAAATGAATGAATGAATGGGTAAATGATTGAAAAAAACCACTTTGTTTCTTACTCGTTTACAGGTTTAATGCATTAAATCTGGCACTGTAATTGGACAAGCAAGGAAAATATTTCATTTCTCTCTATTTAATTGATGATTTACTTTCATTTCAATAAAAGTTAGACCATTCTAGAAGCCATGTTTTGACTCAGTGTCCCTTTTTCCATTGACAAACTGCCTTTCTCCCACATCATGTGGTTCCAGCTCTGTGAGTGGTCTACATGCAGACATGTGACCCAGGCAGTGCCAATCAGCATCATCTGAAAGGACTGTTTTTGGCTGTTGGAGGAGAATGATGAGAATGGGGAGCCATCTTTGCTGACAGGTCCAGAGAAGCTAGTTGACAAAGATGGTTAGAGGCAAGCAGGGCAGGAAGATCAGAGAATCCCTGATTCCCTTCATGACTTAAGCCAGTCCACTCCTTAAATTTCCCTGAAATGCAAGTAAAATAAGTGCCCCTGTTTCCAGGGGGCTTTTAAACAAAAACTAGGCTGCTGCTAACAACCATTATAATCCCAACTAAAAGTCACTAAACTACATTACAGTCAGTTGTGCCAACTTACATTCTTTGAATCAGATTATTAATCACATTGGGAAAAAAAAAAACAGTTCTTAGAGTCCAGTTCTTTCTCCATGCCAAAAATTCTCCATGGGTGACCTAGTAGCATAGATGTTATCAAAGCCAATGTAACTCACTCGACCATATGTCATCTATTATGCAAATATATGACAAGTCACCTGGATTTAAAAAAAAATGTTCCTCATCAAGCAACGGAAAACTGAAGAAATTCTTTTACCAAGAAGTTGTGCAATTTAGAATAAGTTCAAAGTAAAACTTTTTAATGGAAAAAGTATGATGTGATGCCAAGATTCTTAAACTTCTGAATTAAAAGAGTAATTGTAAATCAAAGTTTTAATGACCTTATTATTTTTTAACATTTCATTTATTTATTATTGTATTACTTAGTTATTTTATTTAGGGGGGACGTAATTAGGCTTACTTATTTTTAGAGGAGGTACTGGGGTATGAATCCAGGACCTCATGCATGCTAAGCATGTGCTCTACCACTCAAGCTATATCCTCCCCCACAAAATTTAAATGGAAAAGGTTATATGTTTTGCTATTACTGATCTAAATGAAACAATTTTAAATATCCTGATTGTAAGTATTATCAATACTGCTAGGATGGAAATGACTGCTGTTACAGCTCCTAAGGATTGCTTTAGGGGACTATGACAATTTGGTCATTAATCAACAATTTCTAATTGGGTTTAATTTGACTAATGCTCATTAGAGTTATAAACCAACATACTCATTTAATAGTGATTATAATTCAACAGCTGAACTTCTATGGTACAATGAGCAAATTAATAGCTAAAGATAATTTTGCTCTTAAAAAATCACATAAGACTTATGTTTTAATGAACTGTATACATGGAATGTATTTTATAATGATTCTTTCAAAAAGGTTCAATAATTTTTCTTTCTCTTAATAACTGAAAAGAAAATTTTAGATTTCACGAAGTTTTACAGACACTCGTAAAGATTCTCACACCCCTGTTTCCTGCTGCTGGACCAATCTGTGACTGGTAACTTCCCTAAAAGTTCAATGAAAATGTCATTTTTATCCCACTCCATGGCTGAATTTCCATTCTTTTATTAATATGAAATGATCCGGATGCTTGTGCATATTAGTTTGAAAACCAATACATGACACCTTTAAGAACTTATACTGAACTTCCTCTCTTGGATTTAATTATCAGCCACTCAATGAAGCAAAAATTTTGACTGATATTCTCAAACTGGAGACTACTTCTAGATCACTCTGATGAAAGCAAATTCTAAGAAAGCAAATTGTCCAAGAGACAAGGGTCTGAATTCCAGCTCCAGTAACTAGCTGCTCATAGGGGAGGCACATTCATTTTGCAATCTTCTATAAAATGGGGATACCATGTTATTATAATGTATGATACACAATAAAAAAAGAAGACATACAAAATTTATCACAATGCCTGATGTATGAGTTCAAGAAAGTTTTCTTCCCCTCTCTATCAAATACTGATGATTTTACAGACAAATGCAATTTTTAAAATATTTAAGAATAAACGTAGCTTGCTTATAAATGACCAATCACAGAATTTTATCCAGTGATCACTTGTGTAAACCATGAAGTCTGTTAATTTCAGTGGCTTCCTAAACATGAGTTCATTGCCTGTCCCAATCCGAAAAATTTTAAAAACAAACAAAATTAAAAAAATAAACGGACAAAAATATAAAATCTACACTTTTCCTAGACTACTTTTATACTATTTGAGAACAACTACACTTTATGAGGGTCAGGGACTAGCTTATTTTGTATCGGACACTGGATGCTCACACATACACTAGTCACCTCATTCTGACAGCCACTCTACAACATAGGTATCATTTTTACCACTCTTGGATTAAAAAACAAAAACAAACAGAAAAAACCTGAGGCTTAGCCCAGGTGTTTGGCTGGAACATGGCAATCCCAGGCATCTCTGGGTTCCAGGCACATAATATTTTAGGTTTTCTGAGTCTGACTATACAGTCTCTGATATATGCTAAGGAGAAAACACTGTACCATCCACGCTGGTCCATAACATATTTGTATTTGAACTTAATGGGTATTTAAGAAAATCCTTATTTCTTGGCTGCCCACAACATGCTAAGCAGCAAGACACTGGAGTGGAAACATACTAAAAAAGACAAGGTTCACGGAATTTACATTCTGGTATCACTGTTCCTGTCCCCTTGATAGCCCACCCCTCACCCCAAACCCATGTATATTCTCAGGCTTTTGCTTCAAATTAATAAGAACTTACAGAATACTTGCTGTATTCAAGACACAGTGCAAGGGTGGTAGGTGCTGAGATATAAGAGTTATTCATACTCAAAAAGTTATCTGATGGGTAGAAAAAAACCTTCCCCACAAAAACATCCCCTTCTCCAATCTGAAGGGAAAGCTGCTAAACCAAGTAACGGGAAAGAGTCTGACAGCAGGGCATTAGGGGCTTCACAATGATGACATCATTCAAGCAGGAGACATGGGGTGAACCTGTGTACAGACTTGGGCAAACTGAAACGCTTCCAACAGCTCCAGCTCCATAAAAACAGGTGCATTCATTACATTCAAGGGCTGTGGCTCCTGTTCCCACCTAAATCTTCACCACTGTAGCAGCAGTAAGGGGCCTAAAAAATAGGAGGTGACGATGGATGGATGCTTCTAAATGAAACAAGAACTACTTTCCTCTCAGGCTTGGCATTTGGCTACAAACAAACTCAAGTGCTGAAATGTTCAACTGCATCACCTGAGCATTTGAAACTATTACTGAAAAAAAGTAATGCAAAGCTGCTGTTACAGTCTTTTGTACAATTTAGGGTTTGCATAAATAATCACATTCATTTGTTCTCTCTCTCTCTCTTTTTTTTTACCTTGTCCTTCTGGAGTTTCACCAAAGGGATTCACTTCCACCTGAGTAGCATCAATTTTCAGGAAGAGATTATACAGCTTCTTAATTTGATCTGCAGCCTAAATGTGATCAAGTGAAATGAAATTACATGAAAGTAGTAAAAAAAAAATTCATTTTGCTGGATTAATGAAAGCTTAAAAATAGCAAGTTATGTCTTTATTTTCAGTTAGGTTTTCTGAAGGGAAAAACAGAAAAGCGTAATTATTTTAATTTCTACTGCTATTCATTAGAAAGAATTGCTCAACTTTCCTCCAGACATCAGAAAAGACCATTATCAAGAAAACAAAATATTTCAGTACGGCCTACACATGTTGTTAATCTTTTTGAAAATTATCATGTCCCTATTAGCTAAGCTATACCACAATATGAGCTACAATCATTAATACAAACAAGCTTCATTTAAGTAAAAGGTAAACATGATTTTGAGAGTTTATAATGACTAGGTTTTCCTTATTATACTGGAATAAAACTTTTATTATATTCATCAATCCAAACCTATAATCTGTGAAACAACAATTACTGAAGTCTAATAGAAATTGTTGCAAAACAGGAAGATTAAAGTCCTACACAGCACAGTTACAGAATAGCACAGTTTAAACTGAAAACAGTTTGTCCCAAAGGCATAAAGCACAAAGAGCAAGAATATACAACAGTTTCCCTGGTGCTGTACCCCTGACTTCATTTTTCTCACTCTGCTTGTAATTCACTCACTCATTCATTCTTTTCAACCAACATTTATTAATTGCCCATGTCACAGCAGGCTGGCATTGTGTGAGCTTGGAGCTAAAGGAAGACATCACGAATGAGGTGTGACACCACCCTGGAAAGCTTGCACCTGCAGTGAACCCAGCCTGTGATGCAGCAAAGTAAGACTGAAATGTGCAATCAAAGCAGAATGTTGGCTTTCAGTCTTGTGCTTGGCTCCATCTTATTTCCCAGCCATGGTTTTCCGCTTGCCACCTTTTTGCTCACTGTTTCTGTCCTGCATTATTCAGCCTCGGGTCCATTTCTGGCTTTTCCCCATCTCTACTCTGTTTATCAGGAGAGCTGACACTTGTACACTGAGTTTCCAAGGCTCCTGGGCCACCTGGCTTTCAGCTCAGTTCAGCCAATGTGAAGCAGCAGAGGGAGAAGGAAGGTGGGTGGAAGGGGAAATACCGAATATTTCCACCCTTCTTTTTCTGCCTGGGGCAGCATCTGCTCCTCTGCCTTTAGCTCCCACCAGGAGCTCAACTTCTGTAACCCGAAGTCCAGTAACACCACTGCCTCACTTTGTTCATTGGGCACACAGGTAGCAACAATTTTCTGTTGCTGTTTAGCTCTGTACTGTCTCTCTGTCCACTGTAAAATTCATCTCTCGTAGCACCCACGCAACCCATTCCCTAGAATAAAGTCTCACTGCGGTAGATACTGAGAGTGATTTCTTTGTTCCAGTACTGACTGAAGAACTCTTGGAGATGTACATAATTTGTGCTACCTTAATTTATCTTATGCATACGTGTAAATTTTCTTAAATCCTGATTTGAAACTCTGTGGACATAAACAAATATACATAATGAGTAAGACTGAGTATTTTTCAACATTAATTTTTCTTCTGGCTAGATAATACATGTATATATGATACAAAATTCCCAAGGTACACAAAGGTCCCCCTCAGAACCTTCACCAGACTCTCCAGCCACAAAGCTCCCTATCTGTCTTCCTGCAGCACCCACTTGATTGATTGATGCTTCATTGAGAGATATAGTTCTACATATGTACATATGTACATTTTTCATTCATCTTTTTTAAAAAAACTTGGTTCTATGCCTTGTTTCTTTACTTAATAGATTTCAAAGAGCCTTCATCAGCAATACAAAGAAAGCAATCTTATTATTTTTTGGCTGCATAATATCTTATTGTATGGATGTATCATAATTTATTTAACCTGTCTCTTAAATAATGGCCATACGGCTTCCAGTAATTTGACATTACTTCAAATGCTGCCTTACTTATCTCTGTACATATATCATATATGTGACTAAACATCTGTAGAATAAATTACCTGGAGTGGAGCAAAAAGGGGTGGCCATTTTAAATAATAAAAGATTATCTTAAATTGTTCCTAGTAGAAGATTTCACTAACATCCCCTCCTACAAACCAGCATCATAGACCGTTCTTCTACTCACAATCATCAGCTATCTGAATCTTTACCAAATGCTAGGTAAAAATGGGTGTCTCATATATGGCTTTTATTTAAATCATTCTTATGAATGAATTTGAGCATTATTTTTTGACATTAAGAGACAGCTATATTTCCTTTGCTGTGAATTTTGCCCATTTGTTGAGATTTTAGTCTTCCTCACAGTAATTTATGTGAGGCATTTTTACATGCAGGAATTTAGTTCTTTATCTGATAGAAATTATAAACATTTTTCTCCCTTTAGCATTTATCTTTTCCCCATGTTTTGTTCCTTCTGCCAAATCAAAATTTGATACTAATAATGTCATTCTTTTCTTTTATGGCTTCTGGCTTTCTGTCAGATTTTTAAGGCCCACTATGAGAGTGTTAAAACAATTCTACCATTATTTTTTTCCAAAAACTCTTTAAGATTTCCTTTATTTAATATTTACTTTTTTATCCAAATGGGTTTTCTTTGAGTTATGGCATAAAGCAGATAAGTGATTCATTCTTGCATTTTTTGGTGTGTGTTTTTAGGGATTTTCCAGGTTATTAATACGAACTTGCAATGTGAGCTGCAAGAGAGGCACACTGCCTACCCTAGACACCATAGCATTCACCATCCTTACACAACTTCTGTAGAGTCAACACTCAATAAATACTGGCTGAAATAATTAATTTAACAATAAGGAAAAACCATATAATAGAAATAACTTCTGGGTACATACATATATAAGATCTTATCCCAGCTACCTTAAAACTTTTTTTAAAATACACATAACATAAATTTCACAATCTCAACCATTTTAAGGTGTATAGTTCAGCAGTGTCAAGGATATTCACAATGCTGTACAACCAGGCTCCAGAACTATTCCTCCTGAAAACTGAAACTCTAAACCCATTCAACAACTTCCCACCCTCCCCTCCCCCAGTCTGTAACAACAGTCTGCTTTCCAGCACTATGAATTTGATGACTCTAGATAACTCATAAAAACAGAATGTCATGTATTTGTCTTTTTGTGACTGGCTAATTTCACTTAGCACAATGCCCTCAAGGCTCACCTACACTGCAGCCCATGTCAGGATCTCCCTCTTTTTCAAGGCGGAACAACCGTCCCCTGTATATATACACCACATTCTGTGTATTCATTCGTCTATGGACACCTGGGTCACTTCAAAACTTCTTAAGCCTATTATTAACCCAGCTTAGCACGAAGCTTGAATTTTCTCATGTTACTGCCATTGTAACTACACATTAACACAGCATTTGGGGGCCATTCATTATTATAATTGTTTATTATTGTGCAAAGATGGACTATAAACATTTTTTGAAACAGAACTAGATCTGTGCTGTAAGATCTACAAGGGATATATGTTACAAATCAATGTTGTAAAATCTACAAGAGAGAACCAGCCTAGCTTGGAGACAGAACATGCCTTATTCCAGAGGCAATACACCAAATGACTATAAAGTCTATCCAGGCAAAACGTGTCAGTCTGCCCAGGTGTAATAATAGGAAATGGCAGGGCCTGTGGCAAGCTGAGGTTGGTTCCCCTGTTTTTGAAATGTGTCCAAATTTTAAAAATAGATTAAACACAAGTCAAAGAAAACATTCTGCTGGTTAACATGCAGTCAACCAGTTTGCTAGTGCCACCTACTTCCTCAGTTGGTAACTCATGCTGCACAGGAAATTTCTTCCCTTTTTGCCACAATTAATGTTATTTTAAAGTTATCTGTGAAACAATTTAAAAAATTAAATACCTGAAATCTAATATCCTTGGGGCAACATGCATGAAACCCTGACATATTTATCAATGTCTTCAAAAATGTTTTAAGAGGTGAAAAAAATTTGAAAAACTTTTCCTGCATTCCAGGAACTAATGTCATCAATATTTATATACAGCTCTTAAAGCTAGCCAGAGGTACAAACCACACCCAGAAGGGTCAGTGATCTTGTATTAATTTGGCTTATGGGATACTTTGATCAGCTTAAATCCTAGAGCCACATGCTGACAATTCATGGTGCCTATGTTTTCAGAAATTAATACTATAGATGACAATTAAGATATGCTTGAGGAACTTGTGGATTGTACTTATATTCAGCTTTCCATGGCTTAAGTCTTTTCAGCCAATTCCTGCTGAAAAGTTATTTTCACCAGGAATATATCCTTGGTAGGTTTTTATGTAAGGTGATGTTTATTTTCTGTTAAATCTAATATTAATACATCACACTTTAGAGACAACAGGCATGAGTCACAAGAAAGATATTAATAATTATCTAAGAGAATCATTTTACATGTTGTTCAGCAATAAGTGAGGCGCCTCCAAAGGCCTAAACCACATCTGAGATGAAAATTAAGCAACTTTCACAGTCACATTGAATACAGGGGCCTGTGAGATATCAGTTCTTTATCAAAGGATCACTAATTGCTGATCCTTTAAAGAAATATCTTTTCTCTGGTGCCTCCTCTGCTCACAGAACACCGGCTTTCTGTACTATTTCACTGACCCGCATGACTGGAGGAAGCATTGTAAGGCAGGAGTTTCCAAATCTGCAGCGCCAGCACCGTCTGCCCCGTGCTCCTGTGCCATGCAGTCCATGTTCTACTGCACAGGTATCATTGGGTGCCCCCAGATGAACACATTCCAACACAACTACAGCTGAGATTACCCTCTCTCTCTCCTTCACACCCCATCTTCCTGCGCTCACTGTCAGCAGGCTGACCACTGCCCTGTGAGCCCCTGGGGAACAATGGCCATTTCTCATCACCTCTGTTCCCCAAGGTTCAGCAGAGTGAGCAGTGCCCAAAGGAGCCTGGTCCAATTTTGCTCATCAAATAAAGATTTAAAGCTTTTCATGTAGCTCACAATGAAAAAAGAAAAAAAAAAGGTATTAAAACACTTTACTTTCCTTGCTATGTTAAGTTAAAAATACAGTGACAATATAGCTACTAATGACCCCCTGAGAATGTGCATGTTCTTCTTCCTTTCAGAGGTAACTGACTTAAAACTTAAAACCCAGAGTGTTTGGGGTACTGGGAAAGCATGATTCAGCCATTTAAGAGATATAAATAACTCTTAATTGTCTCTTACATTATGTTCCAGAGGGGAATCTTATGATGTACATAATACTATTATTGTCTTCTCTAGAACTCTCTGTTATGTTTACCTCCTGAGCTTTTAAACCATGTGGTCAGCAGATTTTGCCCACTCCAGTTTTATTCTCTGCCACTTACAGCTACTCATTCCTGACCCGCTAGGAATCTCTTCCAAATAGACATTCTAGATGTGATATTTTACTTATCCACGCATACAACAGATGCTTCTTGGGCATCTAATATATGCACCAAGCAGCTTGTTGGCAACAACAGAAGTGAGCAAGATCGACCAAGACCCTGACGTGGTGCAGATTAAGATCCAGCAAAGGTGACTGCACATGTCTGAGAGAAATACAGATGTGCAAAGGGATGTGGAGAATGTAAAAAGGGTTAGTGAGCACATTCTGGAGCTGACTGTAGGCTAGTGTAGCTAAAACAGAGTGACTATATGGAGACTGACTACCTGCGACCACCACCCTATACAAGAAGCCACTTAATAAATGTCAAGTGACCAGCTGATGTACTTAGCGGCCTCATTCTCTGGAAGTAGAACCAACCACTGCAGCCCTTACCCAGGGATACTCCAGAATCCCCCTTTCAGCTTCAGCTCTTTGCCAGTCTCAGAAATGACAATTAATTCCTCTAATTGTCCAATGCATCTTGGCTCTTTCTGTCTCCTGCTGAGGTTTAGCCCCAGATGATCCTGTTCTCTACGACCATCTTGAACCTTCTGCTTTCAAAGGGAGCTTTTTCCCCCATCTTCAATTAAGTGCTGTCCTTTCTTAATTTAAACAAATATTTTTTTAAGTCTTACTCTGCCTCACCCTTCTATGATTTGCCTTATTATGACCCTCAACCTTCTAGAGATAGAATCAATCAAAAGAAAAAGTAAAAGCAGAGGAAAAAAGAGTGCACAATCTACAGTTTTACTGGAAGAATGCTGCCCAACTAAATTAAAGGGAACTCTCTATAACCATTCTCCAACCCTGGGACAGTACACACACACACGCACACATTAACACACACACACAATCTGGAGTTACTGAGGTTGTTTCCTCTCAAAAACGGAGGAGGAAAAAAAAGTAGCCAGTAAGTTCTTCTGATTTAACTGTGCGAAGAGGAAGCCCGCCTATGTAGACATGCAATCAGGCTCCATGGGAAGGACCAAGGGCAGTGCAAGAGTGTGATGCTCAAGACAGACTCTCTCCCTTGATAGCTTAGAGGACATTTTTTCTGTCTTTGAAATCCAGGGATATAATTACTAAATTGGCATGTTTTAAGCTGTTTTCAGTGAAATAACACCTCTGGGCCATTAATATTCATCTCAAATGCCCATGAGCTATGAAAGAATATCAATTAGTTAAGCAATGTATATTATTAATAACCGTAATGACTGACCTTTCTGGAGTACTGAACACACACTTTCACACATCCGTGTACTCAGTCCTCCTAACAACCCTCTCAGTTGCGGTTTCATCACCTCCGTTTTACAGACAATGAAACTGACGTTCAGATGGTCTGAATCACACACGTACTAGGTAGCAGTATAGGACTCAAACTCAGGCCTGCCTGACTCTGCAGCCTGTGTTTCTAACAACTACTTGCTTCTTATAATTTATGTACTGGAGCTGCAATGCTGCAGAAAAAATAAACAGACCAACGTACATAACAAAGTGTATGTGTCTGAATGCAATACACACTCTCACACATACACACCAATATATATATATAAACACACATGCCATAAACTATCCTCTCTGGAACACCAGGGAAATACTTTTCATCATAAACAACTGGAGGAAAAAAATAGGCAGCAATAAATTATCCTATTTCCTGGTAGTTACAAACATTAAAGGCAATTAAGTAAGTTCCCAAATGTTTTCTGAAACAAGTCAGACACTGGCATCCAACTGCTCAGGTACCTGGTTTTTCAAAGGCCCAAGGAAGCCTAGATTTTCTGCCATCCGCTGAGCTTGGCTCTCCTTTATCCCTTCAATAATGTCGATCTGCTCCTAGTAAAAAATGAATCAAATGAGCAAAATTCACACAGTCAAATGAGAAGATTTACAACCTCAAAATAAAATGCTTAGTATTTATTTGCAAATGAGTAATTCAAGTATGGCACCTTTCCAGAGATCTGTAAGCTGGGCCACTGCAGTTGCCTATAGGGTATATTTTAATTAGCAGACCATCTATAAAACAGCCTTTCCAAAAACCATATAATTCTTCAGGGTGGCATGCTGACAAGACAATCGGATGCCAGTTTTCACTTTTAATTACTATACAGATGGCACTGATGAATATTTAGTCAGTTAATTTTTATGACATTTTTGGAAGGCTTCCAAAGTAAGTTCTTCCTGCCTAATATTGCTATTAAGTTTAGAGCTTGTCATATATAGGTTAAATATTACCTTATGATTTACACAATCTATTGACGATGACAATTATTAATACCCTAGCTCTACAAAGGGCCATTCACCCCAAGATACTGAGCACTGTTCATATACACCATTTCATGTATTCTTTTAAAAACTGGAATGGCTTATTTTAAATCCTGTTAATTTCAAAAAAATGTCTAGGTATTATTGGTAAGCCAGCATGTAAAGTCTCAATTTAACTTCCAAGGTAGTGTAGTTAAATATGTAACATTAGTGAAAATATTTTAAAGCCTATCTCCAAAGTATTAGTTCCTCATGTGAGTGAAGAAGTTCAAGAAATAAAATTCTTGCTTTTTGGAGGGAAATAAAATCACTTTCTAAAAGAAATAATGAATGTTTCCATCAGAAATTTTTTATGTGATTTTTTTTGACCCTAAGAACTCAGATTTAAAGGAATCAAACAAACTGATAGAAGCTTGGCCTTGGAAGGCTGCTACTTTACATGAACAGTATTGAAAGACACCAAGACAGTCTCAATTCACACCTGACTTTCTAGGAGAGAATTTCTCGATCATACGTACTGTTAAGTGGAGTAGAGTTAACAAAGAGTAAATGGAAATATCACAGCCCTCTCTCATTGGTTAATTCTTGAGGCAGGCTGGGTGGAAAGAAACCAGAAAGAAAAGCCAGGAAAGAGGAAAGAATAAAGGGAGAGAAAAAGCAAAGAAAAAGGCCTTGAAAAGTACATACTTTGGTTCTACCCAGCCTTCAATGGGATACCCAGTAAGAAAAAGGACTCAGTATCTTCATGCCTTAAATCCCAGAGACACATGTGCTGCTACCAGGTTCAACCTTCACATTAAATCTTTAATAGCTTGTGCAGCAACAATCAGTGAACACAGCATAGCGAGAAATCTAAACATACCTTAAAAATAAGTTCTGGATTCGAAGCTGCCACCTCTTCAATGTCGACGCCCCCCTGAGGGCTGCCCACAAGCACAGGGCCATTGCAGGACCGGTCCATCAGAATGGCCAAATAGGTTTCCCTGGAAATGTCCAAGGCTTCAGCAACCATCACCTACCACATTAGTGGGAAAGTCAAATTAAGTCAGCATTAAATGGAGCCAGTTTCCACTTGGAGATCTATACAAAGTTGCTACACAAATCAAACAGCTTCATTTTCGGGCTCTTTAAACCCCGTGAGGTTTGAGAGTTCTGCTCTCATGGTGCACTGTGCCCATTTTCACCTCCTTAATTGATCCTGTTAACTTGTTCAAGTGACAGGTATTCAGTTTGCCTCAAGGAAGCTTCCCACTTTAATCTTTTCTTCTTCCTTGAGAAACCCTGACACTTAAGAAAAACTCCAGGGAAGCAGCTGTTATTTTAATTTGAGACATTAACAGTACATATATATTACTACACTGATTCTTCTCAGATTGCACTGGTGGAAAACCAAGTTTGGTTGCCAAAGAAGGATTCTTTTTATGTTATGTCTGATGCTTCACATGTTTGGATACTTCTGTCTCTTGGATTACAGTATCTTTATTTCAATTTATACTTCCTTTTCAGTTACAAACATAATATTTGCTTCTTCAAAAATAATGCAAACGATACTAAAAGTATATAAAGGAGACAGTGAAAGCAGCCCTCTGCTGCTCATACACACCCCGTGGGCCCCAGTAGTCAGGGTGATCACGGCTCCGTACGGAACCTTTGTGATCATCAGAAAGAGTAGCCCCTATAGGAGGATGCAGTCACATGTCAGGACCACGACTGGGCAGGAGGCAAACTGATGGAAGGATTTCTTTCTCCACGTACTGCCTCAGCCAGGTGTCCTTTTGCTCTGCACAACCTCAAAAATGGCATGAAGCAGCCCTGCCAGGAAAAACCACCACAGACTTTTTACCTTTTTCCTATGTGTCTGCGAGCATTACAGTCATGGAGTCATACTGCATGTACCTGAATGCCTTACACATACTTGAATGTCTTTCTTTCATTTTGTTTTTACTCTTAATACTACAACTTGGATTGCACAATGTCTTCTCTCTTCATCGTGACTATATGGTAGCAATACGTCAATACTTATTTGGCCAAGTCCCTGTCTGATAGACATTTATGTGGACTTCAGTGTTTGTAAAATTCTACTTCAGTGATTATTTCTGTACACATATCTTTGCTCAATTGTTTTACTATCCCTATGGACAAGGTATATAAAGGCAAAACAGCTAAGTTTTAGATTTTTCATATTTAAAATTTTGATAAGTACTATTAAACTGCCCTGGAGAGAGAAACTGTCCCAGTTTACACTCCCAACAAAAAACAGTAAAAGATGTCTTAGATGATTTTTAAAAGACAATAGGAACACCCACAAAGAATCAGTACTAGAAGTGAAAATAATAAAAGTACTTACACTGCTTTTCCTGAAAGTAGTTCAATAACAGGGTTCACCAAAAAAAAAGTTATGGATTAAGTAACGTTAGATTTTAGCTATCCAGAAGTCACAAAACACTAATTTTTAAGTCATGTGAAATGGGATAAATATATGATGTCCTAGAAAGTTATAATGTAATGAATACAGAATTCTTTTTTTACACATTTTCCTGGAATTTATCATTGGTTAAAAATAAAGTACCCTATAAGGGGCTTCATAGTGATTCTTTTATCATAAATGGTAGCTCAAGAGTTTTTAAGAAATGTTTCCTGGTACACAGTGCTAGGATTTTCATAGAATTATTCTGATTTCTAGTTCACTTTCTAATCTGAACTAGTCTAGTGAACCAGATTTATTAACTTTCAGTAGTTATTCTGAGAAGGAACACAACATTTAACTTTTTAGGATAAGTGTCATTCAAGAGTCCTATTCTTAATCTTCTAAAGTGTTGACAGATGTGCTCTGCACTCCATCAAATTTCTATTTGTAAAGACCAGCTGCTGTCTCAAACAGCTCCTGCTCGGTAGAAACAACATATCACTCTTTAACGAAACTTTTCCAAGAAAATGATGACTATCAATAGATCATTTAAGAAATTTTATATACAGACCAGATTTTTTTTTTGGACATTGTGATGCCCTTCGTATGATCCAGGCTGTCAAAATACTTTAGGGGCTGTTATAGAGACAATCTAAATGGACTCCATGAATGCTCATGCCATGGGAAGCTCAGTAAGACACATTTCAATAATCTTTGTGGGTGACTGACACAAACAATGCCATCAACACAGCCTTTTTGTCGAGTCTTCCAGTATGGGAAGCTTTTAAATGCACTTCACCCTATTTGACCACTGACCCTGTTTTTATTTTGGTTTTTTGTTTGTTTTATTTTGCCTTTCATATGCCATGCTACTTAAACTGTTGTGTGTGGATGAGTGCCAGTGCCAAACTATCTGTAACAGGATCGCGATTAGATAAGATTAAAAGTATACTCAGTTCTGAACTTATCTCACTGCAAAACAGTAATCATTACTGGCACCGCATCAGGGAGCACATGATGAGTAGCACTGTCACACCTCCCCGACTCCTGTCCTAAGGAACATACCACAGACACATGGGTACAGGCTTAGGAAAAAAATATCCAGTGTGTACAAAGATATACAATGTGCTTATACAGTTTCTCGAACAAACTTAGAAATCTAAAGTTTCTATAATCCGGGGACTTCTGATTGATGTCCAAGATTCCATAAGTTTGAAAATGCATGTTCCTTAAAGTTGAATATAACGTTTTCATTACAGAAATGTGGTAATACACACATTACGGAGAAAAAGGGCAAAACAATATATGGTGATTATTTCTGCATGGTGAGAATAGAAGGAAATTTTACTCTCTAATTTTTACATATCTGTACTATTGGAATTTTTTACACATATCAATCACTTTTGCAATCAGAAAAAAAAAGCTACTTAAAAATAAATCACTCTAGTAGTTTCCTGGCAATGACTCTATTCACAAGGTTGCACTTACCTCCAGTATTTCTGGAACATACCTACAAACTAATTTTAATGCGTATCTATAGAGTGTGAATTTTCTTTGTGTATTTTTATAGGTCTTTTAAGGGTATCACAAACTCTAATCTAAAAACCCATGTGTCCATATAAAACAACAAATTCCTACAGACAAAACTACTAATCATGTCCCCTGGGGACAAATTCTGAAGAAGTTACATAGGTAAAGGTTCATAACCAGATTTAAAAGGGAAATAAAAGTACGGTGCTGGGCTGAACAAAAAGAAATTAAAAAAAATAACACTTTGAGATTTAAACAGCTCTTGCATCTACCTGAGAAGCAGTGGGAAAGGGAACTAACCAGAACCAGTTTTGTCTGTGGGCTTTCTTAACACTTAGAAAGGCTTCGTGCTCTTACAGGAAGATACTCGACAGTATTCTCATTTCCCTCCAGCTCAGTCCCTCAGGACAAAAACAGACACGTTCACTGTATGCTAAGAAACAAGTGGTGATTTTTTTTTTTGTCATATCAAGAATTTTCCACACAACTCTCAATGCAAAGTAAAAATGGAATGTACTGCCTCAGTTTCTCTAAGCAGGGCACACTGGAGGAGATTATCATCTGTGATGCTATGTCCACAGGGCAGACAGTTGCCTCCCCAAAATGTGAGCCCTAATTCACTGTTACGATGTCATGACGGGGCCTTCTAACCACCTGTGCCTTGGAGGTCTGGACTGTGTGACCTGTGTAGTTACACAGGGCGCCACACTCAAAAGGGCCCCACTGCTGGTATCTGGTTTAATGCTCTGCTGTAGCTGACTTGAAATCTGAACAAGCGTCCCACATTTTACTTTGTGCTAGATCCTACAAATCAGGCAGCCAGTTCTGGGGCCTCATACATACCAGGGGTCCAGCAAAGGTGAACAGATTGATAGGAAGGCAAGTTAGGCTTTGGCTTCAGTTCTGCCACCCACAATTTCAAAACTGAGGCAGGCCACTTTGCTCTGGGCTTTACTTTGTGTGTGTGTGTGTGTGTGCGCGCGTGTGCGTGTGTGCGTGTGTGTGCGCACACGCGCATGTGCATACCCTATAAACACTTGCGGTGTTCCAACAGACCTCACTAATACAGCATACTCCCACTGATAACAGTGGCTCAAATGGTCATAATCTCAGAGTAAGTTACAGGGGACTTGGAAAACAATCATAGCAAGTGCAGTAATTCTGATGTACAGGGCGGGGCTGTGAGGAAGCAGAGCATGCCCCTCACTGAGTGTAAGAGCTGCCAAACCAGGCTCTTTTCAGCTTTAAACAGAATGTGTCTGTGTTCTGAAAGAGAAAAGCATTATTTTAATCACCCATCCATACTCACCTTTACTAAATACTGATGATAACAAACACTATTACTACTTTAGAACCCTTTTTGTTTCTCCTTGAAGTCATACAACACACTAAACAGATTATATGAAGTTTGACAAATAAAATGGTGCGTTGCCAAAGTGCAATGCTTAATTAGACTCTCTCAAAACTGAAGCATGATTTTTTCTTTTTTTAACACATATGCAGACAGTGACCCAAAGCATTCATATTACCTTGTTAACTTTCACACCTTCTTTTGGAGTTTGTTTTGTTGCTAGATTATAACCAATCATCTGTTTAGCCAGCTGTCCCACAACTTTAGGGCTAAAGAGAGAGGGAAAAAAAGAGAGAGAAAAAAAGAAAATGAAGTAAATATCTATGTTGAAAATCATTTAAAAGCATAATCAGTATTATAGTCTCATGTCTACACTATATAGGGTCCATCTCCACCTTCACAGAATCCACAGGATTCTCTGCTCACATACTATAGGTGCCCAGCACTGTACCAGAGACTTAGTGAGCCCAAAATATATATGAATGAATGTACAAATGAATGAATGAATGAATGAAAAGAAGCTTGATGCTTGCTTACCTTTGCTATCCTCTCCTCCAAATAAGTTAGTCATACTAGAGAGATAACAATGAGATGCACAGCAGACTCAGGTAAGAGCTGAATAACAAATACTTGCTCGAAGGCAATTTGGGAAGTACTGACCAAAGAGGGGGATACAGGGACGGGGAAGGATCAAAGTAAACCATGAAAGTTATGTGGTAGGAGACGAGAAGAAAGTGTTCAGTGGTGGGAGACATGGAAGACAAACCTAAACAGACAGGTCAGATAAAGGAAGACCTGAACTATCAGACAGGAGGGACCACTGATGCCACTGGTAATGGGAAGCCACTGTAGTTTCTTGCTCATGGAAGCAGCAGTTAATTTATAAGTGGTATTACTTCCAACATTTATGATGAATTGCTGATTGTTTAGGGCAGAGAGGGTGTCAAGTTTTCAAATTAGTGAACAAAAATCCTTTCATGGGAGGAAGAGGAAAACTGGGGCACAGCCAGAGCCCTCTACCTGTAATTTGTTTCCTCTGTTTACTACCACCTGCTCCTACTCCTACCCCAACCCCCCTTCTCAGTGCTCCTTTCAGTCATGAGCAGGATCTTCCATAACTGCTTGGCCCAAAGACAAGGAATTAAAACCTCTAGGCTTACTCTTTTGTTAAATGAACACCTCCTTTCAAACCACTACTGAAGACACCTTTTCCTCTTCCTCCAGCTAGGATCTGGGCTTTTAAAACAATTTCTTTTGCATCTGAAAAAGAAAACCCAGAGTTAGTAGTTGATTTAAAATCTTTTTTTAAGCAACAAGGGAAGTGGTAATGACATAACTTCCAAAAGTGACTTGTAAAAGCTCTCAAACCAACTTCGAAAATGAAAACAATAAAGAACTTCAAAAAACATCAATACACCTAAATACAAAGTCTATTTATGGAGGGCACCGAAATATTTCCTGCCAGTTTAATCCAATACTCAACCATACCTACAGAGAGCAAGGCATGTGTTTCCTTGCTCTTTTGAGTGTCAGAAGATGCTAAATAAATCCATGTCAGAAGTATTAATTTTACTGTGTGACAACACTCCCGTGTGGCAGAGGCACCAACCTGCCAGTCGGAGGAGCTAACTACCTGTCAGCCATCTGGATGTCAAAGGGACGACTGGTGTAAGTAGGGAAAGATCTAAAGACAAGATGCAAAGGGAGTATTTAATAACTATATTCTTGGAAACCAACAGTTTTCTGAGCAGTTGTTCTATATATCGGTAGGGCGGGGTAAGGGAGGAGGAAATGGATTAAAAAAAGCAAGCAATATTTTTTCAGTGTTGGCAGGGTTACAAAATATCCCAGAGGAAAGTGGTTGTGGAATCTTCATTTCTCAACATACTCAGAAAAGAGTGAACTGTCTGCTCTTGACCTTTGAGAGCAGAGTCATAAACTCAAATATCTTTATGGGCCTGGTGGGAAAGCTGAGTGTGCGAAGCAACCAGTGATAGACAAGGGCCTTCAGCCACCAAGAATGCTTCCCTATCCAAGCAACAAAAAAAAAAAAAAAAAAAAAAAAAAGAGTAGCCCCCAAATCAAATATATTTAATAAACCGAACAGAACACATCTTCAGGCCACAGCTGGCATTCTCTCTGATTCAGTTTTGTCTAAAATCAGAGAACTAAGTCAGACAATCTCCTATATGGCTGTAATGGTCTTCTGGTTTAGCATACCAGGTATAGAATCGCATGTCCAGGTTTTAACTGAGCCTTCATTCCTTGCCCAGCTGTGACACTGGGCAAGTCACTTAATGTCTCTGAGACTCAGTTTACTCAATTATGAAACAATGTTGAGGATTGTTTTAAGAACTAAATATAATAATATATGTTAATGTCCCATGAGCCTAAAAAGTCTTGATTAATGAAAAGATTATTGCCATTACCAGTTAGTTTATTTACTACCTTTGTATATTGCAAAGAATCAAAAGGATTATTTCCACTTGGGCATAGACAGTAAAAATTATGGGAATCTGCCACCATTCATGTAAGGTCCGTAAGTGTGGTCTATTTCAACTATTACTGTCATTGTCATTGTCATTCCTCACAGGCAAGCAAGCAAAGGTTCAAACAGAAGAAGCAACAGAATGTCTTATCATGAAGGCAATGGGGAGTTATGGAAGGATTTGACACTATAAAGGCACTGGGTAAGATAGTCACTCTAGCTGATGTAATTAGATTATTAAGGTTCACTGTCTTTATTGGGTAGTCTTCCTTTCTTTCATATTTGCTCACACTCAGGAAACCAGAGTTCACCTTCTGTCAAAAGCAAACATAGCTTCTTTTTTGCTGCCCTCTATATCCTCTGATAATTGTTTCTGCCCTGGATATGAACCATTACAACATCAGTCAAACCATGTCCTATAATAAACTGGTTCCCATCAAGTTGAGTAGAAGACAAGCAAGCTGTGGTGACTGCTCATTATCAGAAACTTGTACCAGGAAAGGAACCAAGTAAAATACATTTATTGCATATTTAGGTTACTGCATGTAAGAGTAGTAGTAAGAGCAAGGACTGTGAAGTAAAACAGACTTGAGTTAAAAATTCCAGCTCCACCTACCACTTTATTTATAGAGAAGAGGAGAATGAGAGTCACAAAGTTAAAAGTAGCATGCCCATCTGTAAAATGGTCATAAGAAAGTAATCTTTAGTGTTATGATGATGAGACAAATACATGAAAAGAGTAGGTAAGGTACTTATCTCAAAGCCTGGCACATTAAAAAAAAAAGTCAAAATATGATAGCTATCATCATTACAATTTTTTCCAGCAATTAACAAAAACAGTGGTATATAGAAAGTCATTTCCAATTTCTCTTTTGAAGACACCAAGTGGGAAAAACACTTCTTACTGTCTGCTCAAGTTTTTAATTGTGATCTCTTTAAATGTTAAGAAGGATAAACACCATTCTACTCCATTCTCATTTTTCATATCTTCATCATCAGAAAACAGAGATGCTCTCTTCTCCAAGGTTTTCAGCAGCAAAACTTGAAAGCCATACAGACTACCTAAATGGGCATTGTTAACTGGCATTACACAGGCTTGATTAGATAAGCTTTAGATAAGCACTAACCATCAAGGCACAGAAACAGTTGTAACCTCAATGAAATGTTGTGAATTATTCATATCACCACTGACCACGTGTCAAAGGACTCCTAGTTCCCAGTTGGTAGACCAAGAAAACACTTTGGAGACTGTGAAGCCGCACACTGGGGTAAATAGAAAAAGGAAAAGAAAAAGACTGTATCAAATCTAGGTACATCTTCTGCAATTTATACCACAGTCCAAAGATAAGTTCACTATAGTCCTCTCTTCTGGTTAGATTTCAAATTGCTAAATCAACATAGCAGGTTAGTAGCATGAAGTAAACCAAGGTTTTCTCATTTTGAGGAGAAGTAATTTCCCATGAAGTAATTTAATTCATGTAGTTATTTACTCAAAGTGCTGAAACTAGTCTTTTCATTCAGAATTTACCAAGTTGATTCACACTTAATGCCATAGTTTCCATTTTATTTAAAGATCTGATTTCTCCAAAAACTCAAAAAAATTTGTTTTTTTTAACATTACCTCTCTATTCCTAACCTGAATTACAAAAGACTACCCCATACAGAAAATGCAATTTTTGTGTGAATATGCAAGAAGATTTAACCATATATTAAGATATCAAGCTAAAAAGAGATGGGGGAACCTCCTCCAATAGATTTTGTATGGAAAAGCATTGCACTATACATTGATAACCGTATTTCTGGTATGACCCAGTTCTGAGCAACTCCAAATCCCTTGATCTTAACTACTGCTCTTGCATGCAGTGGCCTAAAGATGGAACACATTCAATTTATTCTGTTCCTTTCCCAGTGAGTTTCTGATAATGAGCAGTGGTTATGGCTAGGTTTCTACTGGGTTTCATGTAAATCAGTTTATTATAATTCTTAAATATTTTAGGAGAAAAAGTACTCTAAGAGACATATTTGATAAACTTAATAGATAGGTAAGACTTTCAAATACCACATCACTTCAGAGAACAATATTTATAGACATTAAGACAGCCTAAAAAAAAAAAATCCAAGCTGTGGTCTTCACTCTACTAGCTGCATTAAATTAATGCTTCCTCACTGTTTTCCTTTCATTCTCCAGCACAAGTGTTATCCTAATTACAATAAGACGATTTTATACCAATTTTCAGAGTTCATCAACAGTCCAAAGCTGGATAATAAACATTCTTGGAAGCATTATTGAATCTAAAAGAATACATAAATTCATTAAGGAAAGCACAACCCAAACAGAATAAATAAGAAATGTTTTTAATTAGTCAAGCTTTGTAAAACTAACTCACCTGAGCTGGAAATTGGAAAATATATATATTTAAATACAGTGCACAAAACATAGTTCAGAACCAGAACATAAATGGGCCAGAGCAAATGTCTGAAAATGTTCGTCAAGATTGTCAGTAAGAGTAAGTCATTGCCAACTGTCCTTTTTAAACAGTTTGGTGATGAATCAAATATTTATATTACTGAACCAGTTTTTATTCAGCATTGCTCTCTTTCCAAATATAATACTCCCTAAGTACAAAATGTAGCACCAATACTGCAGTGAGATGACTACCTCCATGAATATCTATTTTGAGTCAATAGCACTGGAGTTTGGGTGAGGAGGGGAATACAGTTTCTATGATTCAATGACAAGCAAAATTCAAAGATTCAGTTTTTCAGCACAATTACATTGTGTAATTTCTAGTATGGTGATCACCTTTCATGAAGTTTGACAGAATTCTTAAAAGAGAAAGTTAAAATGTATTTCCAATTTATCTACTACTGCAAAGCAAAGAGAAAGGGGAAGGGGAGGCATGAGAAGAGTCAAAAAATACATGAAAAGATGAAGATAAAGAACATACAATTATATGGTGATAAGTTAGAGACCTAAGTAGCAATTTCCAAAAGGAAATAACTAATTTCCATCTTCAGTCACTACTGTAATATCTCCTATAGACTGACCCTTATTTCCTCAAATTGTGACTAGGTGGCTGTGAACAAGATGAAACTGTTACGACTCTTTCCACATGTCCAATGGCATCTCTGAGACTGAAACAACATGGGCTCACAAACATTGGGACAGAGAATTCCAAACATTTAAGACATGAGAGTAAGTCATTTCACCATTGGTCACAACCCTAGAATGAAGTAGGATTGGGGATACCTGGCTCTCCATCAGACTGCTACAATTAAAGATTTAAATTGTACATACCTAAAACAGCGATTTACAAATATAAGAAAAAGATGGAAATAAGACAATCTCTAGGACAGGGGTTTTGCAATACAAACAGGAAGTTATCCAGGGAGACATTAAGAAATTCTTTACTGGTAAGGCTTTTATATAAGTTTTAAATCTTAATTTCACATACAATATGGAAGCCAATTAGTTTCACATTATCTAATATAATTCCTTCATCTGGATAATGTGCAGACATGATAATGTCCATTTAAACAGTTTATTGATTACAAAGAAGATAATATTCTCTTAACATAAAACATGATTTTATTTTCAGGGAATCAGTGTAATGTTAGTTCCTATAAAAATTTCTAAATTAAAGTTTGATAAATCATTGTTTTTTCAAATCGCCATGGTCTTAAAATATTGTATATTTAATACTACATTATAGGCCTCATTAAAATCTACAATGATAAATTACCCTACTCTTCTGATCTTGTCACTGGTGTT